ATGATAATCAAATTAATAAGGTTTTAATATAAGTCAATTAGAATTCTCGGATTTAAATTGATCAATAATGACCACGACATTTATTTTTTAAATAAATATAATTTAAGTGTACACCTAAATGAATAAACTAAATTATTATACACATGTACAGTAAACACACAATACAAACTCTAAATGTGGCACCTACATTTCGACGGCATTCTGTAGTTGTAATGATTATGAAATAAAGTGTTATTGGTGTTTGTGTAATACAACAATGGTTTAAAAGATTTAGTGCTAAATAATAAAGTTTTAGAAATTAATGGTTTATGGTACACTTATCAATATATTATAAATCTAATAATCTATTGACGCAAATCAACTCGAAACTGATTTATTAGTGCAAGGTCTTTAATCAAAAGTATGTATTTCTATTTTAGTAAGTTAAATATTAATTTGCAGTGAAATGAAATTCGAAATAAATAAACAAAAATATATTTTTAAACATTACACTGAATAAAAAATAAGATATTTAATAAAAACGATATAACTAAATATAATATTTAAACTTGCATAAATTTAAATGTAAATTAAAATCATATGGTAATAGATTTCATCAGTACTATTAATGAACATGTAAGATATGTAATTTACTTTATGAAATTATAATAAAATGTTTTTGTAAATTGTTTTTAATGAGCATTTTTATAGCCATATATTTTTAATAATGTAAAATTAAATTTCATATAGCTATAGACCTCAGTGGGATAATAATTTGTTATCTATCAGGTTCACATAATTTTCTTATCAGAATGTAATAACTGTGATAATAAAAATTTATAATTGTAAGCATATAATTAATCTCGTAACATTAGTCTGGTTTATAACTATGATAGACAACTATATGATGCTTAATTATTATAATTAAATGTCACTGACATAATTGCAGTGAATAAAAGTGCCAAAAAAATAAACAAATTTATTTTTAGCATTTGCACATGTACACAATTGTATCGAATTATAAACAAGGAAGTAAATTAAAATAATAATAAATAATATATTTTATTAAATTTTCAATATATTATTTATGATATCATTGAATTTCATATACTATATAATCTCAACACGTAAATTACTCAGAAAAATTATTTATTTAAAAAAATAAATGTAATATTTTGTATATTATTTAATTTTGTATGTTATATATTAAATAAATATTATACAATAGTTTCAATTTTTGGTAAGATAAAAAAATGCCCAATGTATTATTTATTTATTAAATAATAAAATAAAAATACATTTTTAAAAATTACAAAATTTTACAAAAATAGTGCATGCAATTTCGACATAATATTATTGTAATCTATAAATCCCCAATAATATCATAATCCCAAATTAATATTGCTTTAATAAAATGACATACAATACATATATTTAATTTAAATAATCTAGTGTAAAGAGTTTTGGCGAGACTTTTATATATATATTAGTAGAAATACGTAAAACGATAATTATTTGACGTAGGAAAAATTATTAAATAAATATTGTAATCAATATCAATAAATCAATAGACAATAATCATTACTATAAATATAATTGATGTTTAATATTTATTCATAAATATTTGTTTTTTTTACAAACCTCTTAAATATATAACTATTTTTAAAATTATTGAGTTGAAATAAATTATTATAAATAAATAACATTAATACATAATTTAAATAAAATATAAACCAATATTTTTAATTAAATATGTGTTTAGCTTACAATACCTATCAAAACATAAAAGTTTTATACAGTAGAGTACAGTGAATAAGTTTGCAAACAAGCACATATAAACCGACCATGCTTATCTCGATATTATCGCAACATGTTTTCAATACATGATATGTGTTTAGGTGTCTCGGGTGAAAAGCTATTTGCGTAAATTGTGGGCCCGGCACTTAATTTAGTAAACGTGTGTAGAATCGGCATGACCAGGTAGAAATAGTTACTATTAATAATAAGTATATATTTTTTTAAATATGACAAAATATGTAAATTTTAATAAAATCTTAGTTGCCTATTATTATAATAACATAATGATTTAATATTCATTATTAAAAAAATAATAATCTATCATTTACTAACATAGACTTAGCTAGCGAATTTATACTTTTCAATTATACATTATTTAATACAATTAATCTCTTAATATAAAAATCATTTTCTAACCGCAGCTAAAAATCCCATAAATACTAGTTAGTATACTAACTGTTAATAAATGAGATAGCTAATCTTGAAACTGTCTCAGTACTGGTGTTGGACACCCTTTTCAATGCCTGCGAACCTCTCCACCAAATATTAATGATAAGTATTTTGACTCTTGAGATATGGGTTTGTCGTATAAAATACTGTCACTAATGCCTTAAACATGCTATTCATACCGAAAATGTAGTGATAGAGCAAATATTTTTGCAAACATATCTTGTTGAGACAAATATTAGTTTCAATTAAAGTGCTTTCTATTTGTATATTGAGTTTCCAATAAACTATACATTAAATTAAATTCATTTATGATTTTGTGCGACACTTCATATCATGTATAGTAAACTAACGCATAATTTGTTGGAAAACTTTTATTTTATGAAAAATAACTTATATTTTGTGCAAAGGGTGTAAAAAAGTTAAACAATTTTTTCAAAATATTAATATAACATAAACCTTCAAAATATATTATACATTATTCATTTATAAAGTATAATATATTTAATAACTTTTTTACATACAATAAGTGATTATTAAAGCAATTTATAAATTGTGTCCAAAAATGACGTTCACTGACGAGAGGGACGAGTCGTCGCAACTATTATCGCCATTTCATCCGAAGTTCAAAAACATGCAAAACATTAAACATAACAACAATTATAACTACACTCTCGTAACCAATGGCAGCGGGAGGGGTATCCTGGGTGTACCCATCGATTCGGACAGCGCCATAACCACCACCGATAATACTCAGAGCACCTCCACCACGACTACAGTATCATCCACGACACCATTGCTGCCTAAACCCGATGCCGATACCAGAATGGGTAGGATTGCCCGTAGGATACCGGCCCTGGGCATTATCATGGCGTTCATGTCCGTACTGTGCTATTCATTGGGCTCAGCCATTGTCAATCTGATGCCAGAATTACATTCACTCGAAATACTCATGATTAGGTATTTAATTGACGTTGCTTATTTCTATATTTATTGATTAGAGTACATTTAACAAGTAGAAAGTATTTCAAAATTACTAGACTAGTACATTCTTGTTTAATTGTGGGGTAGACAGGGTATAAATTATTCCTTATTTTTATTTTAAGAGTTATAATTTTAATTTAGTTTAATATATTAAATATATTATACATCTTAGGTTTTATTAATAAAATAAAATATAATAAATTTTATTAGTTAAAACTCTTAAATAACTCAGATAATTTTTAAATTATTTTTTACACTCAAAATTACTTTCATATAAAATTGTGTGGTGGGAATTTATTCAATTATTTCACTGATTTTTATATATAATATACTTATGTTTAATCAACTGATTATTTGTCAGTAATATATTAAATACAATTCAAGGCAACAAAGCACTTAAAATAATATTAACCCCTAATTACTGTCGAGACGTATAGAAAATATCTTAAATATCTTGACACAAAATTAATGATATTTACTATAATTATATTATAATAACAATACATTAGTTGTAATGTTTGAAAATCAAAACATGTAATAAATCGTATGTTTCATATCTTATTTGCAACAAAATAACTAAATTACACTAATTATACAAAGACCTATTATATTATTTATAAATAAATTATATTTATAAAATAAACATAAAACAAAAAGCTTATTGATAAATTATCAGTGATAATTATTATTTTTAAACAAACTAAGCTTTTTAAACATAAAATAATAACAATCACTAAAATACTAATTAATAAACTAAAAACATCTTAAAACTAAATAGTATATTTATTTTTTTATTAAACTTAATTTACACTTAATATTCTGCTTTACAAAAGTAAAATATTTTCATAAACAAATCACCTTAGCACAATAAATTTCACACAAAAAAAATCACCTTATCACATTAACTTTTTCAGATCCATATTCCAATTCGTAACATTCGGAACGTTAGTCATCATAAAAGGCTACTCAATAGCCCCGGCCGAGGGGCACAAATCAACCCTAGCCTTACGGATCATATCGGGCACCATTACCCTCACCACAGTATTCGTCGCCTACCGGCTCATGCCGTTAGCCGACGCCTCGACCATACAGTTCTCATCGCCCGTATTCGTCGCCATATTCGCCTACTTTATGCTCCGGGAGTCCATCAACTGTATCCAAGGGGTGGCCGGGTTGGTCACCCTGGCCGGTGTGGTGGTCATCGCTCAGCCCGAGTTCATATTTGGTGCCCAATCGAGTCTGGTGTACGACCAGAGATTATTGGGCACCACCCTGGCTGTGGTCAGTAGTATTTCCGGGGCTTTTAGCATGATCACTTTAAGGAAGTTGAAAACTACGCCAGTTCCCGTTATTGTCACGTGGTATGGGTTAGCGGTATCCATTGTGGGGCTCATTATATTGTTAGCCCTGAATGAGTTGACACTACCTCAAGGCTGGTTAGTATATTAATTAGCTTGTATAATTAAATGTTTAATAAAAAATAAAGTAATTATTATATTAATATAATTTATTTAAATATTTTTTAAATAGCAAATATATTATGTGAATGGATAAACATTAATTTTTAAATTATCTTAATTTTAATTAGTAAATAATGATTTATGTTAAAAATACTTAAATTTATTATACAGTAGTACTAAAATACTGTAATTAAAAGCACTCACTATAATACACAAAATTGTAAAAATATAAAAATATAATTTTATTTTCTGAACAAAAAGTTATCCAAACATTTTCTAATCAAATTATTTTTATTTAATTCGTTATAATGATATTTAATTCACATTTACATGTACCTAGGTACACGTGGGGCTTACTATGGGGAGTAGGGATATGCGGAATTGGTGACCAATTTTTTGTATCCAAAGCCATGCAATACGAGTCGGCCGGCCCGGTATCCGTCACACGTACCCTAACCGTAGTCATGACCTTCGTATGGGAGGCCGTCATACTCAACAAAACCATTGAGTGGCTGTCCATAGTGGGCGCCACCATCATTACCTCATGCATACTATTGATAGCGTTGGATAAGTGGCGCCACGAGTCGCCCGAAACTTTCCAAAAACTTTCCTGTAATTGCTGTCAATTTTCCGTTTCCGATGACTATTACGATGGGGAAGAGGGGGCAGGAAAGCCGTTTTCGCCCGACAGGTACGCGAGCTATTACGACAGTGTCGAGACCTACCGGCGCAATAAGCAACTGTATTACAATCAGTTTGAGGTGGCGATAGATGGCAACCCTTCCGGACCTAATGTTTTTAATAAATAATTTTTTAAAGTTTAATTTTATAATTATCTATTTCCATTATATTCCATATTGCAATATTATATTGCTAATTATTTTTGTTTTATTTTGCATTTAAATTATGTAATTTTATATTATAAATAAACTATTTTATTTAAATCCAAAAAATATTGTACTATAAATAAGTAGTTTAAAAATGTGAGGGTTAACTAATTTATTTTTTATAAAAACTAATATATTTTTTATGAGGGAATTGTTTGATAACTTAATTAACTCAAATTGAGTAGATTTTTAAAAACTATATTACTAATTTAAT